AAAAAAAAAAAAAAAGAAAGCAATCACATATACAGAAGGTTGAATATTCAAGGATGTTCCTCACAGTGTTATTTTTATGGTGTAAAGTTGTAAATACCCTAAATACCTAAGTAACGTACAAATTTTAATCTTCAGCCATTAAAAAAGGTTTTAATAGAATACTTAATGATACAAGAAAATGTTATTTGTAAATAAAAAGCATGTTACACAGTATCATATGCCATAAAAATCCCAATTTTCTAAAATAAAGCAGAGGAAAAAAAGGAAGAGCATACATGAAATTTTAGCAGTAATTCTTTTTGAATATATGGATATTTTTTAATAATTTGTTTTTCCATGCTTCTCAAATTTTCCACAATGAAAATGTTACAATCAGGAAAACTTGATCTCTTTTCAAAGAATAAACCAGTCAGAATTTTAGCAATGTCTACATTGTAAAAATTCAGTTCATAATTATATTAATGACATTTGTCAGGCATATATTAGTATGTCTGTAATTAAGTACTAATTCATTTAAAACTAAACTTTTAAGATTTATTCCCAAGTTAAGCAATTTGGACTTTCATATCTTACTGTACAGAAATAGAGTGAATTTAAAATACAAATGTTTAATTAAAAATATAAATTTATTCAGCACATAGCAAATCCTGAGTCTTTTTTTTTTTTTTAAGATTTTATTTATTTATTTGAGAGAGAGAGAGAATGAGAGAGAACACATGAGGGGGGGAGGGTCAGAGGGAGAAGCAGACTCCCTGCCGAGCAGGGAGCCCGATGTGGGACTCGATCCAGGGACTCCAGGATCATGACCTGAGCTGAAGGCAGTCGCTTAACCAACTGAGCCACCCAGGCGCCCCAAATTCTGAGAATTTCTTGAAAGTGAAAAGAAACAGGCTCATTTAAAAGCTCTTAGCTGTGATGACAAATAAATAGCTATTTAGGGGCGCCTGGGTGGCTCTGGCCACTGGCTCAGGCATCTGCCTTCCACTCAGGTCATGATCCCGGAGGGTCCTGGGATTGAGCCCTGTATCAGGCTCCCTGCTCAGCAGGAGAGTCTGCTTCTCCTTCCCCCTCTGCATCCCCCCACCCCCCCTCCACTTGTGTGTGCGTGCGGGTGCGTGCGCGCTCTCTCTCAAATAAATAAAAATCTTTAAAAAAAAAAAAGATAGCTTTTTAGCTCTTTTAATTTAAAATTCATCTTTAAATTCACAAGATTTCTCTATTAAAACTTCCTTATGGGAAGATAAAAGTGGCATCTCAAAGCAGTGAGAAGAAAAAGATGTACTAATCAGTAGTGCTGGGTCAACTAAGTAGCTATCTGGTGAAAAATAAAGCTAAATCTATACCTCAATTCCTTAGACCAGCATAAATTTAACTTGGTTCAAAGATCTAAGTGTATAAAATAAAGCCATAAAAAATACCAGAAGAAACCATGAGAGAACTCTTATCACCTCAGAATAGGGAAGACCCTTTTGAATTAACCCATTAGAAATTTTTAAAGCATTGATAAATGAGACAACTATAAAAATATTCTGCAAGGCCCAAACCACTAAAAGAAAAATGGTAAAATATGGAAAATCACCCAAATATCCATATCCCTACATTCAGATGATGGTTTCTGCCCAGAATATATCAAATCAAAATCTAATTAATTTTTCTCCAACTGTTCCAGCCCCATATTAAATTATGTTTACATAGATGATTTTCACTTTTTTGTTTTGTTTTGTTTTTTGACAGAGAGAGAATGTGCAGGGGCAGGGAGAGAATGAGAGGGAGAGAGAATCTTAAGCAGGCTACATGCCCAGCACAGAGCCCAATGCAGGACCTGATCTCACAACCCTGAGATCATGACCTGAGCTGAAACCAAGTCGGATGCTTAACTGACTGAGCCACCCAGGCACTCCTGATTTTCATTTCTATTAGCAGAAATTCTTAGAAGTAAATGGAGGTGCCTATTGAGTGCTTTATCTTCCAAACCAAGTAAAATACCTATTATACCTTACTGTAAAAAGTATCATAAGATGTGTGCTCATCAGTATCTTTTATGTAAAGCTAACTGGCATGTTTTATATAAATATAAAAAAAGTTTCCCTATTTTTATAACAAACAATTCTGTTTGTATAAACAAATCAGATCTTGAGCCTTTAAGGTACGTAAATGGTACCTTCTACTCTAATATTTCTTCTATTAGTTTTACATAAAAAAGTTACTTAATATCCTCTCTCTCCCTCTCTCTCTATATATATTCACAGATACAAAAATAAAAATAATTTAAAAATTCAGTAGATTATTAAAGGGCCTGAAGTACATCAGAAATTTGTTGTTTACATGTGCTTAAATTGAGGTTTCCTTAATCATCACAACTTTACTGGAACAGTTTTTCAAAAGAATATATGCATTGCACAGATTTTTACACATTTTCTTAAAATACCTAGTTTCACCTTATATTTTTTAAAAAAATGTTGTTAGTCAAGAAAATACATGATTTTACTTTAGTACTATTTTTCATATAAACACAAAGAAGATAATTTGCTAAGAGCCTTTTCCTATAAAGATATTAACCCATATTCAAAATGTTTTACTACAAAAAAACCCATTAAAGCAAAATCACATACATCAAGTTCAAAGAAAAAATCTTGTTCTTTGGATGCAATTTCATAATCTGCTCTTAAAGCCAGGTCATGAACTTTCAGACATTCTCCAAGATCCATTCTCTGGCGGGGTGGGGGGGAAGAAAAAAAAAACGTATTACTGAAACAGTAAACACATTTTTCAAAAATTCATTAACAACCACAGTTCTCTTCAAAATACATATTAAGTCTTACAGATGCTTCTTTATTTATGGACTTTCAAATTACAAAATTTCATAGACAAGTATAAAACTTGGTACCAGAAAAAAATCCACATCAATTCTACCAACAGATGGGAACAGTGATTACTTTTGTACTTAAGAACAAACAGACAAGGAAAACTATAAAAATCTGAAAAAACTTCTAGCTTCTGTATCAAAACAAATTTCACTTGGCCCATTAACACAGAAAAGACAACGTTAGTTTAAAATTAAGCTAAAAGAATATGTAAATAAAATTGCAGATTATAGTCAATACTCTTTGAAGAACATTCTGATTTTTTTTTTTTTTAAGATTTTATTTATTTATTTGACAGACAGAAATAGCGAGCGCAGGAACACAAGCAGGGGGAGTGGGAGAGGGAGAAGCAGGCTTCCCGAGGAGCAGGGAGCCCGATGCAGGAATTGATCCCAGGACCCTAGGATCCTGACCTGAGCTGAAGGCAGACGCTTAATGACTGAGCCACCCGGGCGCCCAGAACATTCTGATTTTCAAATAAAGATGGAGTCCTCAAACATTAGACCAGTAACCTTGATAAGGATTCCAGACAAGACTCTAGGTGAACTAATAAAAAGAAATTTATTAAGACTCGATATAACTTCACAAAAAACAAGTATCAAATCCTATTTACAAGCATGTATCAGGGAAATAAAACATACTCCCATTGAACCTAGGATCCTCCTACTTAGAATTCTAATTAGACATTATTTACCCAACCAGAGGTTTTCTCTTGAGACAAAAATTCCTAAAAATCTGCCCATTTTTACATGTTATCTGGGCAACTGATAAAATCTTTCAAGAAATCCTTTAGTGGGAAAATTGAAGGGAAAAAATTGGGCTGGATGCAAAGATATTTACAGATGTGATTAATGGATGATCCAAGTAAAACAGATTTTCCAATTGGAAATATGCTATCCTATCAATAGAATGTCTCAGAATTGCTTAATAGTTGGTAAAAAGAGAATAATTTGAAAAGGTATAGTAAATACTGCCATTGGTTTTGTTACACAAACTATGCATAAAGTTAAAGTACGACAAACATTATAGTAGTAAAGTCATTCCTTCAATTAATTGTGTACCCACTTGTGCCAAGCACTATGCTAGGTGCTAGGGACACAGAGCTAACTGTCACAGATACATACAGTCTCTGACCTCATGGAGCTGACATTCAGAAGAGGGGAAACAAATAATTAACCATAATTGTGTCTCTGAATACAGTTAAGAGGTTTAATAAAATAGTAATGCTCCCATTACAATGAGAGGCTGCTTGGTGATCAGAGAAGGTCTTTCTGAAGAGGATATATTTAAACTGGATTTAAAACGTGTGAGGAAGCAAACTAACCTTAGGAAAAGCTAAGAAAAGAATGCTTGAGGGTTTTTTTTGTTTTTTTTTTTTTTAAAGATTTTATTTATTTGACAGAGAGAGACACACGGCGAGAGAGGGAACACAAGCAGGGGGAGTGGGAGAGGGAGAAGCAGGCTTCCCTGCCGATCAGGGAGCCCGATGCGGGGCTCGATCCCAGGACCCTGGGATCATGACCTGCCTGAGCCGAAGGCTCTTAATGACTGAGCCATCCAGGCGCCCCCCGAATGCTTGAGGTTTTACAGAGGATTTAAGAGGCAGATCTTAAAAAAAAAAAAAAAAATTGCCAGGGTCAAGCAGAGGGATATTTCTAGTAGCAAGAAACAGACTAGAACAATCACTGGCACAGAAGTCTGGGCCTTAAGCTTTATATATAAGTACCTAGAAATGACTCTGTCTTAACTTTTTCGCCAACAACCTGGATATAACAAAGGATATGAACGTCTATTTTATAGCACAATATCCCAAGCTAAAAAAATAGTGAATTCACTGGATTAAGACTCAAAAGAACTTGGGCGCCTGGGTGGCTCAGTCGTTA